TTGGTGAAAGAGTTTTGGATCCATGCAATCACTTACCCCAAGTTCATTGCCATATTCAACACTGTAGCTTCTAATCTAAAGACCATTTGCTCTGATGACGCAAATGTTAGATTTGCTGAAGTTATCAGACAGACACTATGGAATGTGAACATATCTCCTACATTGCTTCTTGAGGATGCACCTTCAACTTCTAGAGTTATTGTTTCTTCTGAGACTCTTGAAGAATCTGCTCCTGAAGTCACTTTGGAAACCAGTCCATTAGCTCTGATGATTGTTGACCAACCTTCTGAATCTGTGCCTCTAGAATCTGCATCTGCTATGATCATTGACTCTGCTCCTGCTCCTGCATCTGAATCTGCTCCTTCTACTTGTTCTGAAGTGAAGAAAGAGAATCCAGACTTAGAAGACAAGATTGTTGTGCTGGAAGCTGGTCAATCTGAAATCAAATCTTGGATGGCAAAACAAGATGAGAAGACAGACAACATACATAAATGGATGGCTAAGCAAGAGGAATCTACTTCTGAGACGACCCACATCCTTAAGCTTCTTGCATCACGTTTATCTTAGTTCTTATGTTTGTGCACTTTAAGTGTCATTTTTTCTGCTTTCTCTGAATCATGTTTTGTTTTGATGTACTCTGATTATCTATGAATGAATATGTCTGTTTGATCTTTTGTTTTACTACTGTTAATGTTATCAGCTTTATTCTATTTTCTTCTGTTAATCTTTTCTGTCTTAAAAAGTTTTCTTTTTGATTATGACAAAAAGGGGGAGAAAAAGAAATTCTGTTTGTTCAAATATAAACAGTTACTAAAATGAAATTCAGACATAACAAATTATATCTAACATTGAATTTTTAGTCTTTCAGAACTAACGTATCATCTGACAAAATTCATTGAAGTAACCCTGAGAACCCCCAAAACAGATCTTTATTCAAACCAGGTTTACCAGGCTCTGATAATTCAAACCAAGTTCTGATTACCAGGATCTGATCCTAGAAGTTAACCAGGCTCTGATTATGGAAAATAAATCATGCTCTGATTTTGGAAAGAAAATCAGTAAGAGTAAACCAGACTCTATTTCTGGAAAGTAAATCAAGCTATTACCAGGCTCTAATTTTGGAAGGAAAATCAAGCTCTGATTCTGGAAAGTATATACTAACCAGGATTTTTACCAGAAGTTTTTCAACCAGGCTCTTAATCTGAAATAGTATACTCATGCAAAAAGGGAAGTATTTTTTTCTATTAGAGTATTCATTTCAGGGGGAGTTATATATTTATCCTTTTCATTGAACAAAATTTCCTATGTTTTGTCATCATAAAAAAGGGGGAGATTGTTAGAACACAGATTGATGTTTAATATTATCTCTATGTTTTGATGATAACTCTAATGAAATTTTGTATTAAGAAAATATATACTCTAATTTTGTTCAAGTATTTTTGTTTCAAATATTAAATTAAATATCATTATGGAAGCAAAATGCATCTGAATAGCAAGTTACGCAAAGCTCTGAAGCATCAGAATCAAGTCATCAGAAGACTCTGAAGCAGAAGCTGCAGAAGACTCTGAAGCAGAAGCTGCAGAAGCTTCTGAAGCGTAGCTGAAGATTTTGTATGAAGAGTTTAAAGCATTATTTCAGAAGACTCTGAATGTACTTTACGCTGCAAGTACAAAGGCTCTGAAAAACAGTTATGCTCTAATCAGATCACTCACGCTAAAGCACTATTGCTGCAACTCTGATATCATTGAATATGATCTGAAGAACAAGAAGCACATCAGAGGATCTGATGGTGTTTACATTTGAAAGGATGTCAGCACGTGAATAGACTTGGTACTATTCTCAACGTCCTCTCCAACGGAACTATTCCTTATTTGTGATAGACACAAGGATTCAGGCAAAAGACATTTCTCTGAACATTCTACTTGTGAGAAAGGGAAAGTCATATGAAGACAAAAGGCTACAACTACGCTACTTGCAGAGTCTTCAAGCTTTAGACTCTCAACACTATAAAAGGGCGTCTTCAACATCTCTTCAAGGTTAACGAATTGATAACAAATCTTGAAAAAATTATTCAACAACTCTCATACAATCTTTCTTATTCAAAGCTGAATAGTTTTATTTGTTCTTAAACTTAAGTGTAAAAATCACAGTTTGTGATATAGATTTTTAGAAGCATCTTAAACACTTGTTTAGTTTACATTAATTTGTAAAAGGTTCCTTAAGAAGACCAAGTTGTGGTCAGTAGTTCTTGAGAAGACTAAGACAGTTGTTCTTAGTGTTTGACACTGTAATTTGTTTGAATATAGTGGATTAAGTCCTTGAGGAGAAAGGCAAATCACTCTTGATAGGGTGGACTGGATTAGTTGAGTTCAACGAACCAGGATAAAAATCATTGTGTTTTTATTGCCATATTTATTTTTAAACCCTTATTCAACCCCCCCTCTAAGTGTTTTTCTCACCTTCAATAACTAGATTGTACTTATTCTTCAATGCTATATGTAATAAAGTTCTTGATTTAAAAAAATTAGATGAATTAGAAGATGAGGCTGAAATAATCTTGTGTTAATTCTAGTCAGAGAAATCAAATTTTGTGGTCCAGTTTGTTTAAGGTGGATGTATCCAATAGAGCGATACGTAAATAACTTTAAAGGATATATGGAGAATCATCACTGACCTGGAGCCTCAATCATTGAAAGGTACACCGCAGAAGAAGTTGTTGAGTTTTTTTTCAAACTATTTGCCGAAAACAAAGTCTATAGAAATTCCAAAGTCTCGTCATGCTGACAGATTTAGAGGTAGAGGTGCTCAAGGTTTAAATGTTAAGTTAATGACTCGAGATGTAGTTCTTGAAGTACATTTCTATATATTGAATTATTTTAGTGAAATTGAACCTTACATAGCTACTCACAAAGCAGTTATAAAGAAAAAATATCCTTGAATGAATGACAAGTGATTGTTGATAGAGCATAACAAGAAATTCATAAGTTGGTTTAATAAGAGGATTTCTAATGATGATATTTCATCCGAGATAATTAAATGGTTATCGTACATATCAAAATTTAATGTGATTACTTGGACTACATACAACATTTCTAGTTTTTTTTTATACAAAAGCAAAAGATGATCGTAGTACAACAAAAAAAAGTGGGGTTATGGTTGAGGCCGAACCCATATATTTCTCTAGTTCGAAAGATAAGAATCCTATTTTGACAACTAGCACATTCTATGACATCAATGAGGATATTTTGGAGATTGATTATGTTATTTTCAAAGTGTCTTTATTTAAAAGCAAGTGGGTTCTCAATGACAATGATGTACAAACTGATGAGTTAGGATTCACATAGGTTGACCTTGGCAAAGTAATTTATATAACTGAACCATTCATCATGGCTACTCAAGCAAAACAAGCTTTTTATGTTAGAGACCCTTCAGACTTATCGAGTAGATGGTCAAATATTCTACAAGGAAAGTACGTTCCTCATAGTGATAAAAATTTTGAAATTCCTTCCACTCCTTGCGCAACATAAGTTTCTACTTCATATGAAAAAGTTGATATAGATGGTGTGCATGCTATTTGTAACGATCATCAAGAAGGCATATGAGAACATTAACAAGTATTTACTAACAAGTATTATTATTTGAAATTATAGGTGTTTAAAGTCAAGACATCAAGACACCAAAATACTATTATTTGATGTAATGATGTGTAAATTATAGGCTCTTTTGTGCCATTTTAGTTTTGATGTAATATACAATTTTTGGTTCTTAATGAAATTTTGTCTTTGATGTAATACAATTTTTGGTCTAAATCATTTAACAAATGGGCGTATTGTTATTTCTGGTCTGATACGATTAAGAAAAAATTATGTTAAAAATAATAAATGTCAAAAATGGTGTTGTCGTGTATCGAACTCATGACCTATAAATTATTTCATGATTATTTAAAACAAATGTTGTTATATGTAGCACACTATCATGTTACTACAACGGGTAATAGGTCATTGTTGTAAACTACACACTTACAATCACACTCAACCTCACAATAGTTGGTCTTCCGTGATGATATCTCCTTTACCAACAGTTGTTTGAGAAATTTTCCGTTGTAGTGTTACGACATCTTGTTTAACATGCTACCTACAAAAAATAGCTAATCAAATATAATAACAATTCAACAATCAAAATATTTTTATATAATTTGTCTTTGAAACTTTTAATTTTCTATAACTAAAGGCGATAAATCTTTAACATAGAACTCAAAGAGTCGAGCATAATAATGTTGTATCTGATATTGGTGCTGGAGTTTGTTGTCTATTTATTTAATAATATATTACTGTAATTGAAGCACATGATTGTGATTTTTCAGTATATATACACTTCCTTGCTATGGTAGGCATCTCATGTGCATATTGCAATCATTGTTATTCTTTGCCAACAAAACATTAAGCTTATTTGTATCATAGTCTTTAAAAATTCCAATAGCCGAAATGAAAGCCTCTTATGTCCCCTAGCTTCTTCACCAACTCCTCATTTTCTGTTTCTTGAACTAAACAACAGATTTCATCAAAAGACTCTCCCTTACAAGTTAGGATTAGGTAACCCTCAAAAGGTAATAGTTCTCACGTTCACAAATTCACAGCTGTTTACATCTGTTTTCAAGCTTACATAAAGTGAGAAGTCGCTTAGAAATAGCTCCAAACCCAAACTTGACTTCTTCTTAGTATTTCCCATCATGACTCAAAAAGTTTAAGTAACTACAAAAGCACTTAATTTTCATTTTCACTCCTCCTTGGTTTTCTCTCACTATTTGAAATATGACAAAACACATGTAGCCATCTAATAAGACCACCCACACATCTCTTCCAATTTCCAACTCACTCACTCTGTTTCCTCACTTTCACATTCACATCACACTTCACAACACAACCCCTTGTTGCTTTTCCTTCTTCCTTACCCTTAATCATTTTAATCCGTTTTCCCATCTTTTTCTTTCCATCCAAACATGTCCTTCCTTACCTCAGCTTCTTCCACTTTTTTCTTTCTCTCAATAACAACACTCCTCTGTTTTTCAGGTACAACAAAACCCGACACCCCGTGCCCGTATCCATGTTACCCACCACCCTTAGGAAGTGGAACCGTCACTCCTACAAATCCAACACCTTCGGTTTCAACAGTTCCACCGGCACCACCACAATCTGGTGTATTATCTTATCCACCACCTTCTGGTTATTATCCTTATAATCCAACACCACCTTACGGCGGCAATAACAACGGTGGTGGTGGTGGTGGTGGTGTTTATGGAACTCCACCACCACCTGATCCTATTCTACCTTACTTTCCATTCTACTACAAAAATCCTCCTAACAAACCTGATGACTCTCCAGCATCATCTATCACTAAGGGGAAGAAATTTATGGGAATGATTTTCACTACTATTATGTTATCTTTATTTCTTGTTTCTGGTTTTGTATAACAACTCTTTGTGAATCTTCATGTAGTTAATGAAACTGCTATTGAAAACAAGAATTAGTGGTTGTTAATTACTTATATTTTGTTAGTAATTTATATTCTTTTGTGTTGTGTTTGTTAATATTTTCTGCGGTGAATCAGAGAAAAAGTTAACAGAAAACTTTTAACCGGTAGTATATTTAAGAATATTCGTAAGTTATTTTGAGATTTATCATTAAACTATTGATGCCATTGATTATTAGAATAGTTGCATCATCTGCTTTGGATGGTTGTTTATGGCACCATAAGCACTTTTAATGTCTTTCTCATTTTCGGTCATTTTCGGCTATTTTGTTTTCTTCTTAGGTGTGTACATACATGGTTCAACAAGCCTTTAAAAGAATGATGCTTTAGTTTAAAGAATTCTAAAGTAATTTTAGCTTTTTGTTTAAAGTTTCTAATTTCAATTATTTTACATACATGTATATTAGGCTATCTTTGTGGAATGGAAAGTATCTTATAAATAGATAGGCTATGATTAAAGTAGATTAAATTTTAAGTGGTGTTAAAATTAACATTTGAATTAACTAACAAATATAAAATAGAAAGGATAGTTATAATTTTTTATAATTAAAATAAATATAATTTTAGTTTTGTTAAATCACTCAATTAGTAACAAGAGCGCGAGTTCGAATCCCAAAATCACAATTATTCTTCTTTCACATATGAGGCGAGAGAGTTGCCTAAAAATAAACTACCTCCTCTCCACAAAAGGGATCTCTCAAGAAAGCCATCGAGGTGGTGAGCGGAGCCAAAGAAATGATGGATAACAATAGTTAGGAGGAAAAAGACTATAAGGGGAACCATTATGGGACGTCTTTCCAGGCCAATGAACACATCCAAAGACATCGTTGAAAGAAGAATTTTTGAGCTAATAACAGACATAGAAGGATAAATAACTTTTGAGGAGAAGTTGAAATGACATATTCTCGCGTTCCACAATAGTGAAAAGATAGGCTGAACTCCAAACAAAATATTTCATTTTGTAATAACGATGAGTGTGACCAATTTATACATTTCTAGAATCCTCATAGACAATGAGAGCTCATGTGAAATCATGTATGTGGAGCTTTTCGAGAAGTTCGAGATGAATAGGGAAAATTTGTCACCATACGAAGGATCTAACATGTAAGCCTTTAATGGAAATATAACTCTCCATTGAGGATACATCAAACTAATGGTCACCCTAGGAGAAAGAAGAGATACCATAACGATCGATATGCAATTTTTGGCAGTCCCTTGTAAGCGCATCTACAAGTGCATCTTAGGTAAACCCTTCATGGCAACACTGGATCCGGTGGCCTCTCGAGTCCACCTAAAGATGAAATATCATAACATCCACGACATTCTGGTATCAATATATGTTGATATAACCGAAACCAGGAGGATACACAAAGCTTTAAAACGTGACATAAGCGAGAAAGACAAAAAGGCAAAAAGAATGAAATGAAGGTCAACATAGCCTTCCTCGACAAACAATTGAAAGAGATAATGGTCGGCCACCAAATGAAAGAACTGGTGCTCCCACCAGGTATTGCATAAACCATTCGAAATTGATAATTACAGGGGATACATGTGAATGAAGGATGAAACTGACCATAATATGTCACATTGAGATGCTCAAAGATTAATAACAAACGACATAGTCGCTTGGTTAAGTATCTTTATTCTACATATATAAAGTAAAATCCATATCACTATGGGTGGTAATAGGCCAGGTCAGCCTATTGAAGCTTATAGCTTGGCCTACTTAGGTCTGACTTGTTTAATAAAAAGAATAGGCTTAAGGTTTTTAAATCACATATTTAATTAAATAGATCAGACTTAGGCTATTAAAAAGCCTATGGAGTTTGATAAACTAACTTATATATGCATATCTATTAGAAAATAAGTCAAATAATAAATAAAAGGTCGTGTAGTCTATTTAATAGAAAGGATGAACTTAATATTTTTTAAAAGCTTATTTAATTAAATAGATCAGACTTAGACTATTAAAAAGCTTATAGAGTTTGATAGGTTAACTTATATATGCATATCTGTTAGAAAATAGGCCAAAGAGTATATAAAAGGTCATGTAGTCTATTTAAAAATAGGTAAAATAGATTATTTGAAAGTCTTAATGTGAAATCGCCTTTTAAATAGACATTAAGGTCAGACTAGGATTTAAAAATGGCAGGCACATAGGTCAGGCTTAGCCCTTTTTAAGTCCAACAGAGCCTGACCTATTCCCACCCTTACACGTCACTATATAATATCTCTCACGAGGGAATAAATATCATTTTCACATAATTTTCTTCTTTGTGATCATAAAAGGTATGCACGACTAAGGGGCAATGTCATAAACATTATAGAAAAAGACTAAAACGATCAAAAAACTGTAGTAAAAGTCGAGAGAATAAAGACATCATACCACAAAACAAATGCGTGATCATGGCTTACTCCCTATTGATAGTTAGTCACTCAAGAGCGTATGAGGCGAGTCCCAACAACATCGTCCTCTAACAAAGTTCACCCCCTCTTGTGGAAGATAGGAGGTGCATTGAGTATAAACTCTCTCACGCCTTTCTTCAGCTTGTTCTTGTTCTTCTATTCTAAAAGGGGAAAGCATCCAACATACGTACATGAAGAGAAAAAAATAGGAGATATGGTTGGCTTCCTTGATATTAAGGTGTCAAGGCGGTCGAAGAAGGCTACAAGTGGAAGAAACCAAAGCTTTGGTCATTCGGGTGTCTGTGACAATCTTTGCTTGTTGTCATACTGGCAAAAGTATGGCTTTAAATCACGGTTAATCCGATTCAACATTTATCGACCTCTTATCCACCATCTTTAGCTAAAAATGAATTTGTTCCCTAGATATTTTCACCTCATTATGAAAAAATTCCACCCACCTAATTGCATTTTCAAAAGAAACTTATAGAACACAATAACAATCTTCCACCGATTTCACATATTCCTTGGATAAGTCAAGGTTTACAAGGCACATATTTCAAAGGTCATATTGAGCTTTCTTGCAAACCTCCCAAGTTGTTTTTTAAAGACACCTCCAAATCCTTCATCTTATTGTTGGAATAATCTAATGTTTAGGTTGCCTGGACTAAGGCAAGTTCCGTTTAGGATAGTTCCATTTGATCAAATGCCAGTGTAAAATCCTTCTCATTTATCTCTAGAACTAGCGACTACATCCTTTCAGCAAATAGACGAGGATAATCGAAATACAATATCTCGTTACCCATCTATATCAAAATACTACCTGTCATTGTTAGATCCTCTAGAAACCGGATCTGCTAAATAGTAAAATAATCAATGCGTTCCATGAGTAACTCTTTCTCTTTTCAAAGTTAGTTAGGAAAGAAGGCGTCTTCCCTAGGTAGTAAAAGAAATAACACATTCCACACTAGTCTTCTTAGTACCATGCCAGCAGTAGCTGTGATAATGTGCCCTAAGTCGAGGTTGGCAATTCCCTAGGAATGGATCCTCTTAAATCTTGCATGGCTATGCGAGGTATTTTATTATTCTACCCTCTCCCAAAAGAAATCCCAGGGGAATACCCCTAGAAGAATTTTCACAAGTCGATTAGTAGAACTTTGCATCCCCTTCCTAGCCAGAATGAGGAGATTAAATGAGGCCACATTAGTAACATTCATGTAGTTAGAACCCTTCCCATAACTGACACATGGATGGCGTCCACAAGAAAAGTGGTAACCCTAGGCATCTTCTACATTTAAAGCATCATCTTGTGACACTTCATCTTACCTATAAGCAAGAAATCAAAAGAGTCAAGGAAAACCATCACCAAGAAATTATTAAAGAAAATTAGAAAATACATATGTTGCTCACCAAAGATGACACACCTCTCCTTCCTAGTGGCGGCCTTCGCCAACAAGAATGTATCTACATACTACTTATTTTGTTTCTTTGACATCTCTCTATAAGTTACATTGTCATTTTCTAAGCCCAAAATTTCCCAAGAAGCCACCAAATTATACTTACCTCGTCGTACCATAAATTTTGAGCAATATGATACTTGTGCCGTATGAGAAGAGACGTGTCGTACTGTCCGTCAGGGTAGTGAACTGGATGATTCTGAAATGGCCACTCGACCTATTCCTTCACACAGATGAATTATTTTACTATCACTTTGTTCTACGTCTCAAATAAAATCCAAAAAAAAAAAAATCATTTTTTAACAACTTAAAAAAATAGAAGTCTTTCACAAAAGATATTTGGTAAAAAAAGAATCAGAACACTTATCTAGAAGTTTTCTGACATAGAAAATCATGGGCTGGATAACTTTGAAGCAAGACTTTCGATTATAATTTGTGGATCGTAAACTTTAAAACAAGACTTTTGATTTTGATTTGTGGACCAGATAACTTTGAAGCAAGGCTTATAGTGTTTGTTTCTTGACCAGACGACTCGTGAAAAAGAGTTTAGGTGAGCTTTTGTAAACTAGAAGACATGTAGAAAAGAGTTATGGTGAACTTTTGTGAACCATAATACATATATGTAAGACTTCGACTTCACAATTTTTTTCACAACTCTCAAATTCTCTCAATAAATCGAAAAAATTAGAAAACAAATGAGAAAATATAAGTTTTTTGACAAATATACTATTTACACCGGATATCTTGGTCAAATTCAGTTAATTGTTGGGATATGAGGATAAATATAGAGGTGTGAGATAAAAAATTTCAAAATTGTTCAGGCCCGAGGTTGATCCAGTATATCTGGCCCAAAATAAATAACTGGATCATACAGACATAGCCTTCGGCTGTCGTACTAATCCTCACTCACAAGCCCCTCCCGCTTTCATGAGTGTGTTATCCTCTTCTTTCTCTCCGAGCAAAACCCTAAAAACTTAGCCGCTACCCCTTCGCCCTAATCCGAAACCCTAATATATTGTTATTGCTCGAGCTTTCCCTAAAACCTATTTTCACATGTAGTTGACCTTCTCTTCCTCTTACTGTGAGCACGATAGAGCTCTGCTAAGCATTGCGAATTGGTTTCATCTGTTATTGTTTTTGAGGTTATCTGCTTTCTGATTTTGTACCGGGAAATTTACTTTTTCATTATTCTAGATTTGGTTATAGTCGTTTGAGTACCGAAAACATTTGTTTTACAATGAAAATCGAAATGCGAAGATAGTGCATATGATGTTTTACACTTGATCTCTGAATTTCAGGTAAGTTAATGTTGACAAGTTTATTCGCTGATGCTTCTTCTTCGCAATTCGTTGTCAATCTATCAATGGATTTAAACTTTATTTTCTGCCCGAACGATATTGTTCATCTTCACGGGTTAAAAAATTGGTTTACTTGTGTCATAAAACTAATTTTATCTTTGTGCAGACTTGTACAATTACTTAACTTTTAGATCGTGTGAAATGCTACTTACATTTAACATGGACAAAGAAAATCTTAGAAGAGCTGTGGTATTATATTTTTGTCATTGAAGGTTTAGTGCAGTTGAATACTTCTATTAGTGGTAGATGAGACACTTACATCTCCCTATTCTTTTTTTTTTTATTTGCCTTTAACTGTTCATAAATCCTCTTTAGTTTTTCCCTCAGAATCTAAATTCTGTTGTTTTTTTTGTGTGCCTAAAAACAATATTTTGAGATGTTTGTTTTTTTGTTTCTTTTCTGATTTGGTTAACATGTGTACCTCAAATTATCTTAGCATGTGTAAGATGTACCACAACATACCTCAAATTATGCCTCAAATTATGTTAGCATGTGTAAGATGTACCACAGCATACCTCAAATTATGTTAGCATGCGTCTAGATGATGATCAGCATATACTATTGTGTACCTCAAATCATGTTAGCATGCGTCTGGAAGATGATGAGCTATACCATTGCCTTCTACGCCATCTCTTATCCAGATACGCCATCTCTTATCCAGAGAGAATCTGTTCAAATGACATGGCTCGCAGGGGCATTTCTCTCCTCCACTAACTTCTCTTACCCTGAGACTTGGTAAGCAAACAAGAGAACAATTATGAATGGCAAACCAAGAGAATAATGGGGATGTAAGTTGATTACAATAATGACTACAATATTCAACCTGCTGCCTTCTCATACCCAAAGATCCAATAAGCAACAAAAGAGCAATGATGAATGGCAAATGCGGATGGAATCTGAACAAATGAAGCAAGGCCAAATAGTAAACCATATGAATGAGATGATGACTACAATGTTCTAGTAGTGTATCTCCGAGGGGCATTCCCTCCTCAACCATGATTTTATGAGTCTTCCAATTTTGCTTATCACTTTCATATTAGGGACAATGTTTTGTCTAAGTATGGCGGATTGTAATGTTTTTTATTTGAAATTTTTACACCAATAACCATGTTTCTCTATAATATTTTTCAATTTACCCACCTTTTTAACAAAATTTTCAAATTACTCTAATTTAAAAAAAAAAAAGTTTTCGGTCAAGAGAGGCGTCATGTTCTCCCTTTGAAATTCAAAAGGTTCAAAAGGGATCTAAGACCAACTCCAATGAGAGTTCTTAGAGTGGGTTTGCCAACATGGCACTCAGAGCACCTTGGTGCAACCCATTTTTGTTCTTTATGGGACCCACTCTTTTAAAGCAACTCATTCAATTTTCACTTTAATAGTGCAACTTCAAAGAACTCATATTGGGTTCCACCACTTTATTTAAAATATATTATTTATATTAAATTTATTTTATTTAAAATTATAATTTAAATATTTAAATTTTAATTAATATAAATACGAATTAAACATAAAATTAAAATTAAACATAAAATTGAAAATAATAATTAAAATTAAATTTAAATACATGTCACATAATTAAAAACAATAAAAATAAATAACATCACATAATTAAAAACAATAAAAATAAATAACATCACATAAACAAATGTAATTTGAAATAAAAAGATGAAAATTTGGCCTAAACAAATGTAATTTGAAATAAAAAGATGAAAATTTGAAATAAAATGATAATGAGAAGAAATTGTTGGAAAAAAATTAAATATTTATGAATAAAATGATGAAATTGTGAGAGAGAAATTTGAAATTAAAGAGCAAATAAAAAGGAGAGAAAATAGGAATAAAAAGGAGAGAAAATAGGAATGATATAAATTTTTTCCAACAAACTTATATTTATAATAAATAAAAAAGTTAAAAAAATAAAATAAAGCTAAATAAGTATTTTAATAATAAACCAAATGAAGAACCGTTGCTTACGTTCTACAGCTGGAATAACATTTTGTTGACATTTTCAATGTCAAGCTGGCAAACCAATTTGAAAAACCACCGTTGGAGTTGGTCTCATATTTGTTGTTTTCATGATGGAAAAGTTCTTAAATATGCAACGGTTCTTCAATGGTTCTTATATTAAAATATTAATTTTACAATATAAAAACTATAATTTAATATAAAATTTTATTTATTATTTTAATTATCATTTTAATTAAAATTTAAATATTTAAATTATAATTTTAAATAAAATAAATTTAATATAAATAATCTTTTTTAAGTAAAGTGGTGGGACCCAATATGGATTCTTTAGAGTTGCACCATTGGAGTGAAAATTGAATGAGTTGCTTTAAAACAGTGGGTCCCACAAAGAACCTAAAAATGGGTTGCACCATTGGAGATGCTCTAAAAGAGAGTGTGTATTGGAGTCACCTCTTAAATTATAAAGGGAACACTAAATGCATTGGAGTCATCTTATGAATTAATAAAAATTAAATATTTTATTACGAAATAAGGTGACTCTAATGCATTTGGCGTTTCATTTATAATTTAAGAGTTGACTCCAATGCTTTTGGCGTCTCTTTTATAATTTAAGATAAGAGTTGACTCCAATGCTTTTGGCGTCTCTTTTATAATTTAAGAGGTGACTCTCATGTATTTGGTGCTCCCTTTTTAATTTAAGAGCTGACTCTAATGCATTTGACATTCTCTTTATAATTTAAGAGCGGACTCCAATGTATTTGGTACTCTCATTTGGGTTTTAAAGGGGACTTCAATGTACTCCTTTAAATGGGTATGGTTATGGTTATTGGTGTAAAAATTTTTATTTATTTGTGTATTATTTAATTCTCATGTGTTTAAATTTATCGAATTTTGATCATTTGCATTTGTAAGGTAAAAATGAGATTTCCAATGAAAAATGAATTCCAAAGTTAATTTTTTTTTTTAACTTTTTTTTTTTCTTTCTAACATAGTGCCTTCTAATTAGACTTTGTTTTGTCTCTTTGTTTCTACTAACTTTTTCATCGAAACATCATTGATGTAATCATCATTATAAAAATTAATTTTTGTTATTTTTTTTTATTGTTTGTGTTTTGTTCTTGAAGTGAAAAATATAAAAGAAAAGAATATAGTTATAAAGAACAATGGAAGTTTAATAAAATTAAATAAAGACTATGTTGATTAATAATTTTCTAGACAACTCTTTTCAAAGATGAGTCGCTCATTTTTTTTTAATCTTAGTTTTAAAGCTACTTTGATTTCAAGGATAATTTCTATTGAATTTCATGAGACAATACAAATAAATTTAAAAGACGTATCTTTAAGCACTATTATGGAAAGGAGAAAACCACGTTTTGCGTGTTTTCCATGATAATAGAGAAAACCACGTTTTGCACGTTTTCCATGATAATAGAGGAAATATTAGCTTCCATGTTTTCCATGTTTTCAAAGGAGTGAGAGATTAACTGCTCATGTGTCCAAGGATTAAGACCCAATATATCTTTATAAATATATCAATTTGAGAAATTAAGAGTGAAAAACACCAAAAGACACATTGATACAAAGCTTCCCACAATTCTAGGAGAGTTAGCTCTAACATCATTAACAACCTTAGACATTCCATACAACCCCTGGAACACAGTGTTAACATTATTGTACGTTTTTAGCAAATATAAATTGTGCACACCATGTGATCTTGTAAAACTATACTCATCCACACTCATTATCATTCAGCAATATTTTTGTCACCTTTCCCATGACGATGGCGAAATAAAGCTCAAACACCGCTGTCAACACCATTGCACAAAGATTTGTTGATAACGTAGAATCCAACTCTTTTTGTTAAAAGTATGCCACACAGATTAATAAATATATGAAACACAAGTTTCAAAAATTCAAAGAATTATCTAAGCATGAAAAATAAATTTTAAGTTTCTAAAAACAAAGTGAAGAAAGATACTTCTTCTTGTCCACATGTCACCAATGCGAAAAGAAATGATGCATAAGACCAAATTGTCCTCAAAATCTAAAAAGATCCAAAAAAAACGCAAAAAGAAGTTAAAAGGGGTCTACATATATCTTGGGATGACAATGATGTAGAATCTTCTCGCAAAGAAGAAGTAAACATGTGTCTAATGACAAATGAAGAACATGTGGTGCAGAGATAGAGTGATTGGACTAACTTTCAGTTATAGAAGGTGAACCAAGATAATTTTGTTGTATTCTTTACATTCCACACTTTAAATTTCTGCATTATATTCGTTATCATTTCTGAACCAGATAAATAATCATAAATCGATTCGGACAAACTATGTTTTTTTTAGAAAGTAGCGCTTAAACCAAAAAAATCGACAATCCTAATTCACCCCCTCTCTTAGATTGCATATAGTATTTAAACTAACAATAAATATTAATTCATTCAACAACAAGCAATACATAAGGCAAGAGAACCTCGAGAGAAAAATAAATAATGTGAGTCCGACTCAACATATATCAACCTCTCATTCACCCTCTTTAGCTCATGATAAATCTATTTCATGGATATTTTCACCTTAGGATAAAAATATGCCACCTATCCAAGTGCATTTTCAAAAGAAACATGTAGAATATAGTAAGAGTCTTCCATCGATCCGAATCATCCTCTTCTTATGGTTAGGGTCCAAGAGTGTTGTGATTCGAATCACACACTCTCATGATTCAAATTAAATGAGGTAGTGAGAAATTCAACTTTCAAGGATGGACGTGATTCTAATCACAACATGTATAATTTGAATCAAGTTTTATAACAACCTTAATTTAAGTAGTCTAACTTGTGATTCAAGTTACACTCAAAACATTGACTTGAATTGAATTGTTAAACTAAAAAAGAAAGAATTATTATCAAGGATTCAACTATTGAGTTATTGAATGAGGAGGAATTTGTTAGACGATGACACAGATCTAGAAGGGGGGTTGAATAGATTGCTTGCTTAAAAGAGTCGGTGCCACCAATAAAATTGGTTTTTAAAAATTGTTTAATTTGCAGAAGCGACCGAGGAACTATGCCGTCTAAAATGAACGGTTACTAGAAAATTGGATATGCGTTAAACCTATGGAATACGATAACGAGATATGAGAATCACTACGTTAATCACACTATCAATTTGATTCAGCTCACTATATGGTGTGACAAGTTCCAATGCCTTAAAAATATTAACACAATGAAAGGACAACACACAAGGCTTTTAGTTCAGACAATTTATCAAACATTTGGCGTGCAAAGCACTACAAGTGAGTTCTGTTTTGAGAGTGAATTGCTCAAGTTTCCTCTTACAATCAATGATCGTACTAGGTTCAAAATCAGTTTAGCACTACTCAAATCAGACCTAGATTGATATAATCGTTTGCACTAAAAACACAAATAATAAGCAATATAAACGTAAAACAAAAGACACAACGATTTGTTGAGGCAGTTCCCCCGCCGTCCTCGCTCGGGGTACGTCTGCCCTCAATGCTAATAATAGAATTGAGACTTGTTAATATATAGATATAATCTGTTGTTGAAAGTTTATACAAGAAGCGAATAGCTATCAAACAAACGAACACTATTGTTGTTGTAGGTCCTATTTCTTCTTGCCCCTTGATTCGAGTCGAATCAAGTACTTCGACAACTGTGAATAAACCTCCGATTGCGGCGCTATCTTTGAACAACCTTCAGTCTTCAAAATCTGGCCCGACTTATTTCAATCACCCGCGTGTCGAACCCGAAACTCCCACTCACAATCCTCCGTTTACCGTTACTAAACCGATGGAACCTTCAGCTCCTCGATTACCTTCACTCGGCTGAATATGTGATGAGACGAATCGTGCAAAAACCTCAAAGTTCAGAGAATCTTGGAGGACAAAACCCTAGAGGTTTTATTCAAGAAAAATCTGTCGATTCCTCAACCCGAACCGGATAACCAAATCTTCGGTTTCGAACGTTATCACCTCTAACAATGCATAATGCACAACAAAGATGATTATGTGTAATTGTTGTGATATGCTATGAAGAGAATGAAGATGATGAGAACCAAATCGACACCTATTTCACTTTTCTTGTTTTTCTCAATGTTATGAAGTGAAAATAGCAACTGAGCTTATATACCAAACATAATTGTCATAACAACTAAAACCACTTCACAAAGACAGTTGACATAACAGAAAATTGACATAAAACAGCGAGCGGTCGACCTATGCAGAATAGAGGGTCGACCTGAGTTGACCCGATTGTAAACTTGTGCAAATCACAAAACCATGCGTCGACCGGAACAAGGTATGCATTGACGCATAACATGCATTTTTAGACAGATTAAAATATTTATAGTATGAGTCGACCGGTGGGTCAACGCGAGGCCACCTGAAGCAAATTCACAAAACTAACTCACAGTGTGAGTCAACCGGAACAGATCTTTGGTCGACTCAAAGCCCTGAAATTGTCAAAAATGCCTATTTTTCATATTCTTCGACACTTTTGATGACATCTATGATATGACAAACGACACCAATAAAGTCTAACTCATATGACACATATTTGTGACAATCTATATGCAACAACCGAGATATTTTTATGCGAGCATTTGAATCATGAGAAACAAGACATGCAAATGCAACATGGTGATAATGCCAAACATATATTCTTCTATGGAACAGAGTTTTGACATCATCGAAACGAACACATCTATATATGAGACTTTGCCCTCACAGAATTCAAAGGTACAATACTAAGAATAGTCCAAACAAACAAATTTAAATAAATTCAAACAAATTATAAATACGCGACAAATCAAATAATGCACATACACAAATTCATAAATCATCAAAATAAAAATAATAATTTCAATTCGATTGTATGTAGATAAGTTTTACTGTTCTAGGTTGTTGAAGCTCCTTTAGTAAGTTATGTTATTCATAATTCAATTTCCTTCTAACTTATTAAAGTTGTGCAATGAATACACATGCTTAATTTCATATAAATAATAGGAGAAATTTGATGATATGGAAATGAAGAATTCCTTTGATGATGAGGTATAAATATTAAAATGTAAGTACAAGGATTGTGAAGGTTCTCTAAAGCCATTATAAATTTGAAGATGATGAAAGTGGATATGTGAAGATGATCATAGATGATGAAAGATGATAATGTGAAGATGATAGATGAATGTTGAGATGATAGATGAATAAGATGAAGAAATTGAGAAGATGAAGATAAGTTTCATTGTTAATGAGTTTGATGAAGATGATGAAAATGAAAAGATGAAGATGAGTTTTATTATATAGATTTTTTAGTTTTTTTACATAGATCCATAAAATAAAAAATTAAAAAAAAAAACTAGATTATTCATTTTATTAAAAACATTAAAAATTAAAAAAAAATTGAAGAATTAAAACAAATGAATCTTCATATATTAGAAAAGAAATTAACAAAAAAATACAAATTTTTTTCAAAACTCATTCATATAACATAGGACCCAAATATTTTAGAAAATGCATGTTCATTAAAGTCTATTTGGAAACAAAAGGCAAAAATGTTTCATTGCACAAAATTTATAATTTACTTCAAATTTAAAATATACATCTTTATCAAAACAACAAAACAAAACCGAAAGCAGCGACTACAACATGGACTCGCACTGAACTCAACTAACCGGAAAACACCGCCGGAATCGGTCGTCGCCACCACAATCAGTGAAAAAATCGTCCAGGTTTTCCTTCTTCTTCAATGTTTTTTTTTTCTATTTTCCTTTAGTTCTCTTGTAGCGCGCGAATATGCGATTCCGTTGCCGCTTGCCGCCGCGATAACCGCCCCTCCATAAGGCAACGCAACGGCGATTCTGTTTGCGTCGCAGAACAGAAGAGTCTCGCCCCGACTGCGATTCCGTGCTATAAAATCGGGTTTTCTATCATTGCAGGTGATTTTCAATGTTTATTCAACCGCCACATTTCTAAACCCTAATAATGGAATGCACCGTATCATTTCCTACTAGTATGCATTTTGTTCCATTGGGAACAACTTTGTGCAGAAACCAGAGAATTACTTTAGCAGCACATTCATCGAATTCAGATAGAAGAAGAGAAAGACCGACAAAGAACTTACGATATCCGCGTCGCGAGAAGCAACCTCCGGAGTTTGGTGTTAATTTATTCTTGAAGAAGCCTAGCTTTCCCAACAATGATCAAACTCACGTTGATAAGGATTTCAATGTAGAAGAGAGTTATGAGGAGGAATGGAATACTGACGTGGTTTGGGAATCGGATGAAATTGATGCTATATCGTCGCTTTTTCAAGGTAGAATCCCGCAAAAACCTGGAAAATTGGATCGGGAGAGACCTCTTCCTCTTCCATCTCCTCACAAGCTTCGACCATTGGGACTACCTACGCCGAAAAGACTACCAGCGATGGTTTCTTCTCGCATTTCTATGGATAAGAAATTATATAAAAGCCCGAGTTTTCTAGTTGGCTTGGCGAGAGAGATTAGCAGGCTTAATCCAGATGAAGATGTGTCTATAATTCTTGGAAAATGGGTGCATATTCTGAGGAAGGGTTCTCTATCAATGACAATAAAGGAATTGGGCCATATGGGGCTCCCTAGTAGAGCTCTACAGACGTTTTGTTGGGCACAGAATCAACCTCATCTCTTCCCGGATGATTGGATTCTGGCCTCGACGATTGAGGTCTTGGCAGGGAACCATGAGTTGAAGAGTCTATTGAACTTGAACAAGTTTACTGGTTTGGCGAGTCGCAGGGTGTTAGAGGCGTTGATTAAGGGTTTTTTAAAAGGGGGAAACCTTAGACATGCTTGGAAGGTATTGGCAATTGCTAGAAGGGATAAAAGAATGTTGGATTCCAGCATTTATGCGAAATTGATATTGGAACTTGGAAAGAACCCTGATAGATACAAACATATTGAGCCGTTGTTAGAAGAACTCGGAGCACGAGATGAACTGAATTTAACAGCACAAGATTGTACTGCTATAATGAAAGTCTGTGCTAAGATGGGAAAGTTTGAAGTTGTTGAGAGCTTGTTTAGTTGGTTCACACAGTCTGGTTGTCAACCAAGTGTGGTTATGTACACAACTGTTATTCGTAGCCGCCATGCTGAAAATAACCACAGAGATGCATTGGATTTAGTTTGGGAAATGGAGGCTTCGAATTGCCTCTTTGACCTCCCAGCTTATCGTGCGGTAATAAAGCTGTTTGTTGCTTTGGATGACCTATCTCGTGCTGCGAGATATTTTTCAAAACTTAAAGAAGCAGGATTTTCTCCCACTTATGATTTATACAAGGACATGCATGAAATTTACAGGGCCTCCGGGAGGATTGCAAAGTGCAGAGAGATATGTAAGGAGGCCGAGATAGCAGGTTTCACTCTACATAAACATCTAGTGTCATATGATTCATGATTTGATAAATAAAGCACAGTGGAGTATAACTGTATAAGAATTCAATGAGCATTATCATTGTTTGTACCAAGTTTGTATCTCTTTTTATGGGCTTCTGTTTGTACATCTACAGATATTTTCAACATTGAGACTAAATTATTATTATATGTGAATATGCTACTAAACTCTGATGGTAGTACCAACTGTTAAGAAATTGGCGTGATATGGAAAAATGTGGATCTATTTAGTTTGAAAAAAATCTTCTGATTTCACCTTATATGCTTTGGCTAAGAATAAAAAGATGTCACTTTGTTTTTATCTATTTGTATGGGAAAGAATGTAAATAATGTTTTGTTATTTTCATCATTTTAACATTTTGCTTCATAAACTAAAATGCAAGTGCAAAGATGGTGCATGTGATGGTTTTACAATTGATCTCTGACTTCAGGTGACTTCATGTTTAAGTTCATTTAGTGATTCATTGTTAACATCTTTGAATCGATATGCTCTTGAGAGGGACAACACCTTTGATTTCAAGAACAACTAAGGCTTTTTTTTTTGTAAGCGGAGTTCTCATACTTGGTGACAAAAATAGACTCAGTCCACCAGCATTGGCTGCACTTTTTTATGGGACGGACCAATGATTTAAGCTTACACCCTCTACGTTCCACTCCATCTCATTTTTTTTTAGCTTTTGTGAGTGCGAATATTAACATAAATTTTTATATTTTCAAGCTTAAAAAATGTAATATCTGATACTCTTCATCACCCTCACTTTTTAGCGGAATGGTTAATATTTTAAATCCGCACTCTCGACTATGTTTATCTTTCCCTTTTTTTCCCAGAATTTTGTGGGTTTAAATCAAAAAGTGATGATTCTTGAAACGCTTTAAAGTAAATTAAAAACAGAATTACTATTCTTGCATTAGAGTAGGAATATGTGAATGTCCCTAAAATACATGTGATAATTTGTGGTACACTAAAAATGACTTTAGAACATTAATCATTATTCTTAATCTCCTTGCACTGGAGATGCTCTAAAGAGTAGATCGTTCTCCTTTGTAGTGTTTTGAGGGAATGGATTAATTGGGTTGCTAGAATAACATTTTAGTGCATTTTCAAACTATCCCCTAATTAGGTTAGTAACTCATATAATGGACTCAGTGGAACCTTTAACCCTACACCTTGTACCTCCTCAATTGATTTATAACACAAAAACTTATTCACATAAAGATAACAATAGACTGTTTATTGTTGTCTAAAAAAGATTGATTCCTTGCAAGCACAATCCGGAGGGAAAAATTAATAGTTGACGGTATTTATAAATAAAGTTGTCAAATTCACGAGTTTATTCAAATTCGTAAAGGGTTTATAGATTTGACTCGCAGACTCGACTTACAAATTCATGTGTTTATAAAAACTTTCAAAAAAATGTAAATGACACATATGACACATACATATACTTTTAAGCTTATATATGCTTCATATATGACACAATTATATATACTAGAACACCAACTAATACAAAAAGATAAACTCAATAACAAATTTCTTAACAAAAGATAAACTCAATAATAAAACAAACAAAATTGCAAAATTTGTAGTTAAAGACTTAAAATATTAATTTATAATTAATTGGTTACAACATAGAACAAAAAAGCTATCAAACATATATGATAATGACTCCAAACATTCAAAGCTTCAATGATATCACAACCACTAATATCATCATCATCATCTTCATCAGTATCTTGACTATCATCATCAAACTCTGTCCCAGATGAAACACCTTCTTCATAATTAATCAAATTTTGATTTCTTAAAGTTCTCCTTCCATCTAATTCAACATTGTCACCATCACCACCACTTTGCACAACATTATTTACAAATATATGCATTTACTTAAAATTGGTTATCTACAACCATGTACTTTAAAGTTGATTTTTGAGATAGGTGCATATCTACAAATACCAAACATCTTATATTAGAAGAAAAAAACTTAATCAAAACATTGAAGACATTAAAATTAAGAAGGTTTATGTTCCGGTATGGGCCCAACCTCGGCAGGCCCAATACCGCGTGCGGCCCAACAAGCGAATCGGGCACGCCGGGCACGTGCATCCCTCAAGACGAGCAGGGCAGGCCGCCGAACACGAGCAACGTCCCAACAACCTTTCATCATCCACCACACCAGACGAGCAGAACCGTCCCCGGCTCACCACAGCGCGACCATGGTCCCCTCCACGGGGAGAACAACGCGCTCTGGGGTACCTCCCGAGCTCCCCTCCGCGGGGAGAATAACGTGCTCGGCGCACGTTCTCCACGTGCTCCCCTCCGCGGGGACACGTCATCAACCAACTGCCCACCTCCGAAAGAGCAGGTCAAACCCACTTTCCGGAGATCTAGGAGCAGTTGGACTAGGGCGAAGACCACGTCCTGGTCTTCACTATGCCACGTAAGCCCTAGCAGTCATCTGGGTTGGGCCTGGTCATCCAGCCCATCTCAATTGACCGTTGGCCCAGCGCTGGGGTCTCTCTATAAATACCCTCTTCCTCAAGAGGGTCAGGTAACTCTTCTTGCCCCTTTCCGTACTATTGCTTCCACTCTGTCCAACTTCTTACTTTGGCATCGGAGTGTCTTGCAGGTACACCCCCCTTCTCCTCCTCATCACCGGCGAACAGGTAGCAGCCCAACAGAGTGTGGCCAGTCCGTGATCCCCTCCTGATAAGGTCAGATCAGTGGCGCCGTCTGTGGGAAACTGAAACTTCCCCGTTACTCCGAGCAGAAAACCAAAAGTTTCACCAAACCTCCACGATCATGGCTAGTCCACACCGCGACGACACTCCGCACGACCTTGCGCCCAACGTCGCCACCAACGGGAAGCAGATAGGAACGGCACGTCCGACGGAAGCCGACGAAAGGGATAGGCAAACTGCTTCACCATCATCCGCGGAACGGCCCCTCCAGGCCGATCACCGCCCCCCGAGCCCGCCAGCATTCCACCCCGTTCCCATCCCGGCGGGAGCGGATCCGACGGTGGCCTCTCTCTTTACGGCCATCAACCAGACGAACCAGCTACAGTTCCAACAAAATGCGAGAATTGGAGCATTAGAACGCATCGGCCCTCCGAGGTACCCCCAGCGGGAAGACCAGAACGGAGGTTCGAGGAGTCCCTCACCTCGACCCAGAAACCGCCGACCGCGGCTGGAGAGACACCGCCCGCAGGCAACACGAGAACGCACCAGGTCCCCGGCGAGACACGTTCGCGGGAGGAACCAGAACGCCGCGGCGACCCCAACCGAGGACACCCGAGGCGAGAACTCAGGCAGGAGATCGAGAACTCGAAACCAGGGGCACACCTTGAACGGCTCATCTCCCCACAGATCCCCGGCGCAGAGCGACGAGGATGATTACCGCACCCCGCTATCCCGGGAGATCATGGCTGCCCCCATACCCCAGGGGATGGAGAAACCACCGACGCTGTCGACATACGACGGCACCTCCGACCCAGACGATCACCTGGAAGACATCGAGGCTATGCTCGACTACCGAAACGTCCGGGGAGCTATCAAGTGCAGACTCTTCCCGACGACTCTGAGGAAAGGCGCTATGACCTGGTACAAAAGTCTGGAGCCCGAATCAGTTACGTCGTGGAGGGTCTTGAAGGACCTGTTCTCCAAACACTTTACGGCGTCCCGACGGCACCCGAAGACGGAAGCAGTCCTCGGGGCAATCGTCCAAGGCCCCGACGAACCTCTCCGAAAATACATCGAAAGGTTTACTCGGGAAGCCGTGCAGGTGACAACTTCCGACGAAATGAAACGCTACTTAATGGAACAAGGCCTGCGCCACGACTCCAAATTCTACGAGGCCGTAGGCATACACCGGCCCACGTCCCTCCAAGATTTCCTCGACAGAGCCGCGCATTACATCCGATTCGAGGAAACACAAGCGGCCAACTCCGCTCGCGACACTCGAGACAGAGAGGCCCCCTGCGGGCACCGAGACGACGGAGCTTCGAGCCATTGACGAGGAGGAGACCGCCGCCGGGAAGACCGCCCCCGCGAGCCCCGCGAACAACGCGAACCACGCGGCCCGGCAGGAAGATTCACAGAGTACACAGCCTTGGTCGCTTCACGCGAACGCATACTGGCCGAATGCGCTAAAACCGAGTTCGTTCAGGGAGGTGTCCGTTTTCCGCGACCAACGCCGCCCAAACCCAACGTGGACAAGTCAAAATACTGCCGATTCCACAGGACCCACGTGCACGTGACGGAAAACTGCATCCATCTCAAAGATGCGATCGAAATCCTAATCAAAGACGGGCACCTGAAGCGATACACCCGAGGAGGTGAACCACCCAGGCCAGAGGCCCCGGAAGCTAATAAAATCGAGGAGCTCCCCTCTCCAGAGGACAGCGGCAGACTCCAGGTCGCATTGTGCGTCAGCCGCCCCGAGGATTGGTTTGCGAGCAGAGAATTCGACATCCCCGAAGGACCCAACCTAATCGACGAGCCAATCCGACCAACCAGCCGATGGGAATACTTCCCCAGAGCCATGGTCATCTCCGATGGGGCCACGAGGAGTCTATCCATAGGATCTGTGAAAAGGAAATTCGACGAGCTCATCGCGAACAACTCCGGCAAAATGAGCACGCTCGACAAATTCCGAGGTCGCTCCAACCCGATCACATTTTACCTCGAGGAACTACCCGGGGGATCTCCCAATTCCAACATACCCTTGCTCATACGTGCCCGGATGGCAAACTTCGACGTCAGGCGCCTCCTCGTCGACGGCGGGAGCTCGGTTGACATCATGTACTCACATCTGTTCACAACTCTCCAGCTCGACGAATCCAACCTCTCTCCCTACGTAGGCTCCGACCTTCAGGGGTTCAACGGGACGACGACGAGACCTTGGGGATACGTGGAATTGAAAGTCACCTTCGGAGAAGAGGAAACAGCCAGGGACATCAGCGTCCGTTTCTTAGTCATCGAATGCCCGTCCCTCTATAACTGCAT